GCAGGTTCCTCCTCAGCAGATCGACCACGGTTTCTACCACAGAGACCATGACCAACGCGACGCAGAGATGAGCTCCTCTGCCTGAACTAAACACGCCGTACTCAAAACAGCAGCGATCTTCCTGTCATTAAGAAGCCACCTCACAACACGGCCTGCATTTCAGTGACAATGACATCGGCGCACATCCCAAAAGGCTCCAACTTTCTCTGGATAAATCTCAAGGACCACTTGGTGCATCCCTGTGACTAGTGAACTAATCCCTTCTTGCGCGATTTCTGAAAGCTATTCATGAATAACCTTTTTTCCCCCCATTTGCACTAATTACAGAGTGACAAATTAACGAATGTGGCTGCAGCCAAGAGGACAACACGAAGCCCTTTACAGCAGAGCGCGCGGGAGCCTCGATACCTGGTCAATGGTGCAAACCAGCGAGGTCACATTGGCAAAGGAACCGGGCAACACGGCTGCACTTTAGGCAGCGTCCCCAAATCTCTACATTAATCTACTCAGTATTAACCCAATACGACAAGTGCCGGATGCCAACACGCGTTTCCACAAAAAGTGAAGATCCTGATTTTGCAGATGCTTTTAAGAATGATTTTTTTTTTTTGGCCCCAAAATCATAGCACAACTTCCAAGATACGAATGCTCCGGCAAACCATTTCTTAAATACTTAAGACAATTACTGCACATGAGAGGGAAGGAAATAGCCACTAGACTGTTAATGAAGTTCTCCGCATGGAAATGTGTTGCTTTAAATCAGCTCGAAAGCACAGAGGCTTCGCGGCGCGGCACTGATTTGCCTCTTGAGCGGCAATATGGTCTGCAGTCAATTAAAATATATGTCTGCCCCAGAGAATAAAGAATTCTCTAACAACAAAAGAACTGCTGCGACAGTCGTCTTGAGGGACACACGGCGCTCATCAGCCAGTCCCACTTCCAGGAAAGTGCTTATTTAGTCTATCCTGGCTAATGTGTTCTAACACAGTTGCACCCTTCCCTCCCATAGCAGCCTGTGGAAATCTGTTTATAAGGCATTGGCAATCTGGATTTTTAAAAAGGGTAATCACCTTTCTCCAAACTGCAATTACAATTCACATATTTTCTTTGTTTATATATAACATTATCCTATATATCCTGTATCTAGTAGGATTCTATCCTCTATAGAGGTATTCCTGGCCTCAGCTGGCTGCACAGAGACAACACATCACTGTGTAACTGGAACAGTCTTAGTGGCACTGCATTTTTTCAAGAAAAACATCTTTTACGGGAAATTCTTTCTTGAATTTATATATTTCTGTTTCAGTGAGGACAAAACTTCTGCTGACCGAGAATCTGTTCCCAGTATCAGATTCCCAAGCCTTTGGCAAGCATGCGGGATTCAGGATATGTGAGCCAAAAGCCTCTTCCAGTGAATATTCAAATAAAGACACGTGCAACAGCCCTGGTGCGGGCAGGGTCCATCCCAGCTGGATGGACACACGGACACAAGGATGGGGTGGAAACACTTCATAGAGATGCAGGGGCCATTTGAGAAGCACGGCTCTTTTTGCAAGCTAATCTGTTAGCTTAAGAGCTACCTAGAGGCAAGACTGCCTTTTCTAATATTTAAGTTATGGCTGAAGTTATTTATGCTGCATTTTATTATGTTGAAAAGTGAGACACACCATTCTTATTGTCATACATTTGCCTAAGGATATATGTTATAATTTAGTGCCATGGTTTTTATGTGCATCTTCATTTTTTGAAGTTTTATTGCCTTATTTTGCTATTTTTATTTTATTTTTGCAAATGCTTTATAATATTTGTGAACAACCACACGAGCTTATATGAAACCAATGCAGCAGCAAAGCCGCTGCAGTCATTTACAGACCTTAAATTTACAGACACCTACAGACCCTGCATTTGCAGACACAGGCACAGGGGCTCCACCAGCGGGAGTCCCGGCCCCACCACGAGGCCTTGGATAAACCCAGGGGCAAACACCTGGTTTGCTAAAACAAACCCCTCTCGCTTTGGTCATTTCTCTCACTAAACTGCTCTTCAGTCCCCTCCGTTTCCCCCAGCCCCTTTCCCGAGGTTTGGCTGAT